AACTACTTTACAAACTTCCTGAAGTCCTTTTGTATTGATAACTGTGTAACTTCCCTCTCTTCAGATCCGAGAGCCCAAATGAAAATTTTCTTGCTTATTTTAGTGTAAAATTTTCTGCTTAACATTATATTTACCAAGAATATTGCGATCTGGACTAAATTTACACATATCTACCATTAGTCTTTGCTTTTTCCTGATGCTGCTCCCTAAAGGAAGGGGCATCATCACAGTTTGCAGAGTGTCCTCTTTCAAAGCAAAACTGATAACTGATGATTTTCAAAGGCTACATTAAAATGTAATAGCATAATTAAAATTGTGCCTCAAAATTGAACATGTGTTTCTCTTCCTAACAAAAAACAAGGCAGAATGTATTTACTAAGCAACATGAACTGGATCTTCACTCTTCTGCTGTTATACAAACTGTAACTTCCTTGACCATTGCATATATCATTTTCCTTTAAAGTTCTCCCCTGGAAGTATTTTCAGACTTAAACTGGAATTAGATACTATTTTCAATGATTTTACTGATGTTCAAGTAAGCTGGACACTTTCTCACAGAAATAGTGTGGAAACAGAATAGCACCAAATGTTGATGTTTGTGGCACAGCACCATACACACAGATTTGCTATCCTATGGATCAAAGAAATAAGAAATTCTGTCACTTTGAGACAGGATATCATATATTAGGAGAGCTAAACACAGTGGGAGCTACAAAACAGCGTTCTCTATTTCTGTCACCTCTTTGTTCTCCCTGTGGACAACAACACATTTATTTGCTTGGAATCTGTGCCCATAAATTCTTTCCAAACCAGGTTCATTTTGTCAGGGTACAAATACCACTCCAGCACCTATGCATGCTTCTGAACACGAGGTACGAGTTCAGCTCCAGATGCCACCATCATTTATGATATCTGGCAGATATTTCACTCACCTCGATTTTACTATTTTTAAAATGCAGATGTGGCCACAACTCCTTTGTGAACCATTCTGAGATCCACTGATGGAAATCACATGGAACAAATAGCATTGTCAACTTACCAAGGTGTCTTCCTGACCTGTGCCCTGCGTGCACAGATGGCTTACAATAGCGTGTGACCAATGTCACTGTCCTGCCACTGAACAGTCATAGGCAAAATACACCTGCAACTTCTTGATCTGCTCTGCTTGAGTTTCACCCTCTGTCCTCCTGAAATACCAGGGAGCTCCAGGTTTCTAGGGCCACTGAGGGGCAATTTTTGTCTGTTAGGCTGTTTTCTCTAACTTTACTTTTGCCATAAAACAAAATTGCTTCATAGTTTCAAACTAATTTTACCCATCACATGGAAATTCCCAGAGTACTAGTTTTTAATACTATAATATCTTAGCCAATTAGTATCTTTGGAGATGCACAAAAAGCCCATTGAACAACTATATCTATTCACTATTTTTTTACATTATATATGCACATATATAGAGAAAAACAAAAATTCATTGCTGGATAAGCAAGGTTTATTTTCCTAAAATATTGTGAGAAAAACAACTTATCTGCTTTAAAGTGTTAATACATGATAAGTCTGGAAGAATATTGACAATATTGATGCAGCAGATGTAAGCTGATTGAGAAATTAAGGTCCATGATGTTTCAGAGCAGGGTTTATACCAAAAAAATAAACCTGGAATTCAGTCAGGATCTGCATGTTGCATTTCCCCAATCTAGAGGGATAATGCCCCAATTTTTATCACACCGAATAAGCAAAATGATGACAGTATCAACAGTTATTTTATTTACTGATATTTACTCCGGAAATAATTGCTTGTTTCTTACACTTGAATAAATTTATCGGTTTCACAACCTCCTTCAATAGCAATGGATTACCAAGCAGTAGAACTTCTCTTTGCATTGTATGCTGGTGAAAAACTAATAAACTCTCTGAGAAGCATTCAACACTTTGTCAAGTGAAGGCCAAATTTCAGACAAGCTCAGACTTTGCTATATGTTGCAAACACAAGCACACTGCCTCCCACCGCACCACCTCAACTTGTAGGAGGCATTAGAAAGATCAAGAGAACTTTCCATATTGAAGGACTTAGGGGGACTCTAATTTATATTTGCTTACAGGACTGCACACTTGTGTTCCTGTCACTTTTATCTAAACAGTCAAATGTTGCTTTACTGCCTGCATTCTGCATCTCAAACAAAACAAAAAAAAAAGGCCATCTAATTGCTTAAAATTAAAAAGTTGATTAAAAAGCAAAAAATAGAATCTGTTATTTATTAGAATATAATTTATATATTCTATATATTTATATAGAATTTATATACAGTATATAATTTTATATATTCTATTTGTATAGAATAGAACAGAATTTGTATATCTGTGAGATGAGCCCTCAAAGACAAATAAAGCCTGGTCAACACTAAGCAATGAAAGACTGCTGTCATAAACTGCGCTTCCTCCAGAACTTCTCCTCATAGCAGAGTGCAAGTCCTAGCACCATCCCCCAGAAACTCAGCAGCTGTAACCCATATCTGTGTACTTTGTAGTCTGCTGTCATCCCTTCTTTTAAAATTTCCATGTTATTCTACCTCACCCCATAGAAGTTTAAGACCAGCACTGCCCAACTGTTGAAACCCTCCTTAATAGCAAAATTGAGATAATAATTTAAGAGAATGTTACAGCCAACAGAAGGGTGAATACAAGCTGAAATGCATTTTTAGGTAGGATGCAGTTTTCCCCCAAAACTCGAGACTGGATTTTTGTCAAAATTAATCATCACCAATTCTTACCCTAGATAATAAAGGTAATGAAGAAAGGTTCACACCAAGAATAATATCACAACCTGCACTTAACACAGAATGGTCTCACATGACACCCTCTCCCCCCACTGCCCATCTGTGCACCTCAGCAGCTCTGCAGCTCCCAAGGCTATTCCCCCACATCAGTATTTTGCTTTGAAGCTTGTTCAGCTGGTGAGTTATTCTCACTCAAAAAACTCAGAGTGATTTTTCTAACTTTGATAAAAATGACTCACTTCCTTAAGAGATTTTGTGCATCTGAGATGAGACCTTATTAGCAGGCACAAGAGGTATGTAAAGCCTTTCCCAGAGCCCACTCCATTAGTACTAATCAATATTAATTTAAAATTGCATAAAGGCAGCTTTTCAACTAGAAATGACTTCATTCTTTCTCCCCCCTGCCCCCCAACAAAAAACCTCACAGCTTTCATTATGTTTGACATACCAGGACACTGGGTCTCTGTCCAAAAGTAATTTACAGATTATCTTTACAACCAGAATAGCTTAACAAGTAGAGATGATATTACCCAGAACAGCTTGGTGAACCTTGCCTTTCGCTTCTTACCTTGAAAGCATGTGAATATATCTAAGCATGAGGAATAAACTGTTTTTAAGAATCAACACACTAGGACTAGAAAAATGTAATTGCTGTAATGATCAAGTGGGAACAACTGAGGTGGCTCAGGGTGAGTTTCAACCACTTTCCCTGTCCAATTGCCTCAAGGAACTTCAGCTGCTGCTGCACCTACAAGATCAATGCTGCTAATTGTGAGGAAAATTATTCAGGACAGCACAGAGCCTCCTATTAATGATGCCTGCCAGTAGAAAGTCAGTTTATCAGCTATGCTAAAGGTTAACATCAATATCAAATGCAACAACCTCAAATGAGTGTATCACTGACTTTTAAGAGAAAATCACTATGGTGGTGCAATAAACTTCAGAATTGGCTGCACTTCAAAATCATTTTGGTTCCCTGATCATCAGGTGACCTGCTTATGTTTGTTGGTTAATATTATTTCATTTAACTGTAGCAAGAAAAAATACATGCCTCTAGTGATCCTTTAAATTCTGTCAGTATTCTTTAATGACACTGGGCAAAAGAATTGATGTAGGGACAGATATAAGCTCATAATACAGGAAAGGGTTTGCTGGAACACTTCTGTTACTTCTAATCAGAAAAACCTCAGAAAGCAAAGAGCAAATAAGTGTTGGGTTAAAAAAAACCCAAACCACTGGCTACATTCACAGAAGTTAACCATAAAGACAGCACCTCAGGAAGTCAAAAAGCCACAAACACTTGGAAGCTGGGAAGACTCAAAGTGCTTGTCCCACTTTTTTAATTTCCAAAATGCATTGTTTATCTACAATGAGACAAAAAACAAGGGTCTTTTGTGGTGTGACCCATCCCACACACTAATGATTTGGAAAAAAGTTAATCATATATAGTAATGGTTGAGAACTTTCATTAAGTTGAACTAATAATAATAGTCTACAAAACACAAAATCTATAATAATAATCTATAAAATAACTTACATACAATGTATATGGGAAAAAACATAAAATCAGCATTAATAACTTACAAGACCAAAGTAATTTAAAATACCAGAAAACTTGAACAAACTTCTCTTTGAACACCACACTCTTAACTTACACAGCTTTACAGAACATACCCTGATTTCCCAGAGCAATAGCTTTACCCTTCCTTATTTAAAAAGTGCTTCATAAATGACTCCATTTTTATACTGAATTTCCTTAAAACACAATTCTTTGTTACATACAACATTTGTATGTTTCCCTACAAGTAAAATAGAACACATATATCACAACAGCTCATTTGATAATTACAATTATATACTTGCATGTGCATAAACATATATTAAAACAAGTAACAAAGTGTATTTTGAAGAGCACAAAAAGTTACCTCATACTGTCTTAGACAAAATCTGGTTTAAAATATCTCAGAGTCTGCTTTAACCCTTTGCAGCAAAGATGCATGTGAAATAAAGTTCTAGGAGGGCTGTCTCAGTACAGACCCTGCAGGTAATATGGTAAAAAACAAAGGCAGGAATCAGTCTCAGCCTACAAATTTAGTGTGTTGTGACAAGATCACAAATCCTCCAGGAAAAAGCATATAATTTAATGAAGAGGGCTACCCAACCATGTGCACCTCCTGCCCTTCCCAAATAATAATGACACAACTCTGCATTCAGAGACAGACTGACCATGAAAACAGTTGTCCGCACATCTTCCTACATTTCAGTGGAAAATCTTCTTGCTCCTGCTTGGGCTTTGATTTCTTGTTCCCTTTTTAAGCCCTGATCATGCTCACCTGGCCTCCAGCTACAAAGCTAACAGGTTGTTTACAGAATAGAAGCAAAACAGGTGTATTCAGTTAAAGATTTTTTTTTTTTTTTCCTCTAAGCTAATCCCAGAAAAGATGAAAATAACCTGCATCAGCCTTTGAAAATAAATTATATACTGGCTCAAGTAGTGGGATCTAGTCCTAAGCATATGAAAATTAAGTAGCAGAAGAACAAAAACTGCACAGGTTGACATCACAGCCTACAGTTTGACTGCCATGTCTCTGTGTCCACAGACTGTACCTTAATGACTGCCTGCTACTGTGAAACTACTACAAAAGCATGGACACGCCACAGGAGAGTAAGATCCAATTACATTTATACAATAAACTAAATTTATAAGTAGAATGAAAAAGAAAAAGTATTTAGAACAACTAGACAGAATAATTTCTGGATCAGCAACTCACTTTCCTTTCCTCTGTGTGTCTAAGTGCAATGTCTTCATTAGTAAATCCTCTGTGTAAGGTTAATCCCTTTCAGCTACTTAAGGCTTAGAACAGCTCACATCTCCCATTCCTGCCAGTAAGTTCCACACATGATACAGCAAAAGAATTAGATGTTTGTTTTGTTAAAACTGCACACCTAAGGAATTTTACCACAAACTTCTATCCATCTCCTAACCTTAGAAATCACAGTACTAAGCAGCATGAATATTATGGTAAAACAGTTAATTCCATGTTTTGGAGGGGATTTTAATAACTGGAGAAGTGCTTTTGTTTTCTTTTTTCTTCCTACTCCTCTTTTCCCTTCCTGTTCGCCCAGACACCAGTCTTTCAAACAAAAGGTGAACACTTTGAAATATGTGTTAAATTTGACCAAATATGTAACCCAAACTTTACTGATTTACGACATGTATTCTAACTTGTAGATAATCCTGCTATGAGGCAATTTCTCTGATTCCTTTACAATTGTATGTCTCTATATTTCATAAACATTAACCAAATAGTAGTATGTGAAGTGATTTTCAAATTCTTCATGTAGACATCTGACAAGCTAGAAATATTTTGCAAATACTTTTTCAAAATCTTTTTTTTCCTTTTTAATATACAAAAAAAAAGAGATTTGTGTTCTCCTTTCAAACAGGAACATAAGCAAATCCACACTAGAAAAATGCTATAATCTTCCCTTACTTTTAGAAAATTGTTCCCTCACTATCTCAGAGATATATATAAATACATGCAGTTTGAGAACATTCCATTTTGAAGTTTCTTCTCCTCCTGAAAACACAAAACAACAAGCAGAACTTAGTGCATACCCATTGTCTTTCTGGAAGCTTTTCCCCAATTCCTGTACTAAATAAATATATTTTACAAACCTTTTCTCATCTAAATCTAAAGATTTTTGGGAAAACATGTACTCCAGGTATGAGAGGACAACACTGACACCTGGAACACTGCCTTGGATAACACCATACAGAATAATGGTCAAAATGTGGATGCAGCTTCCTTCACTGCCTCCCAACACTTCCCATCCCACTTGGGGTTAAAAAGGAGGCACTGAGTAAAAGGTGTGTATTTGATCCTTCACTCCTCCAGACCATCTGACAGCTAAGAGACTGAAGTACAGGACTCTGTGACTCCAAAGGTTCAGCCCAGAAGATATCAGAGCAAGAGCAGGAAAACAAAGACTCTTCAGCCAAGAGCAGTATGATACAAATTGCTTTTCCCTTGGAGGAAGAATCACAGGATCATTTGGGTTGAAAAATACTTTTTTAGATCATTGAGTCCACTAACAAACCTAATACTGTAAAGTTAACCATTACACCATGTCCCTAAATTCCACATCTACACATAACATATTCATAGAATGGTTTGGATTTGAAGAAACCTTAAACACCATTATGTTCCAACCCTCTTGTCCTGGACAGAGACAATTTCCACCAGTCCAGGTTGCTCAGAACCCCACCCAGCCTGGCCTTGAACACCTCCAAGGATGGGGCACCCACAGCTTCTCTAGGAAACCTGTGCCAGTGCCTCACTAATAATAGAAAAGAGGATGAAATGCAATTCCTGCAGAACCTCCAAGGAAAATTGGGAAGGAAAGCCACAGGCTTTCCTTCACTGAAGTTCAACCTAGTCCTTAGAAAATAATAATGCATTCCACATTAATTTATCTTCCTCTCCACATGCCCATCTTTCATAAAGTTCAATACTATCATTGAAGGCTATCTGTTAAGAGCAAATGATAAGTTACACAATTTTAACATCTCTGAGTATCTGGATTCCTACCAGATGTAAGAAAATAAGGTCCAGTCTCTTACTGATTTGCTTTTTTTGCACCATAAGGTTTTTTTCTTACTTTATTTAAAAGAACAGCTATAGCAGTTAAAACATTTCTGACAAATCTGTCATCTAGGGATTATTAAGAGAGGCAGGAGCAGATTTCCTTCACAGACCAAACAACGGCATTTACTCTGACCTACAGGGAACACCTTCCTAAGCAATAAGAAATAGTCCACTCTCAATGACAACTCAGTCCTAAGAGAATGCCAATTATGCCAAGTTTACACAAACAGATGTACAGCAATTTTGTAATACGGACTACTTTACACCAGGGACAAAGCTAAAACCATTTATCTCAATTAACTTAGGATCTAAGGATTAATTTAAGCTGTTGCCTTAAAGGTGAAAGGCCACCACTTGATCAAAATATCCACCCATACCTCTTATTTACAATAAATATAAATCTCAGTCCTTCATTTTTAAAATTATATCTTTCAAATTACATTTTTACCATCAAAACTTTATGCCTTCTGTCTTGTACAAAATAAAAAGATTAGTGACATTTTTTCAGTGGCTGAATTACAGCAGTCCTATTATGGTTTGAAAAGATGGCCAATTGCCCTAAAATAACAAAACCTAATCAATAGGAGGCATGACGATAATTGAAATTCCTCAGATTAGGAGATCACTTCTAGCTTACAAATAACACTAATAAGTGGCATCAGATTTCCACTCACCCAAGAGCTGTTTGAATTGAAAAGCATTTTGAAACACACATGAAATAGTAAATGAAGGAACACAGATCAGTGAATGAAAGAATTAATTCCTCAAAAGAATATTCCCACAGACAAGAGCTGTCTGTAATATAAAGGTTCATAAATCCACCCAAATTTATGAATTGGCATGCCCGCTGTTTCCACCTTACCCATGTGTCATTCAGGCAAACCCTGTGCGGGAACATCACATATCGCACACTGACTGAGTTCTCTCAGTTTAGAGCCCACAGCATTCCTCATGGTTTTAGCCAATATCTGCTAATCAAGAAGACTGCAAAAGGAGACAGTCACAGCCTGTGTCACACAGCCACTGTGAACTCCCTCCACTGCAGAAGTGGACAATTGCTTCCTTCACCTGTGGCATCCTCACGCCACAAAAGTCCTGGTGCAGTTCAATCTTTGTGCAAAGTAAATGAATGTGACAACGTATGGCTAGAGGAGTACTGACCTATGAAATCCAAGGTATGATATCAATATATAGGTTCTGATTAACCAACTTAATTAGAATTAACAGTGTTTTATAATTGGAGATCAGCAATACGTGAGTACATAGAGTTAAGACACCAAGTAGTTACCTGTATCTCTATTTTCAGAGGCCTCTCAATGAACAGAGTTCAAGTGGAGCAAGGATTTAACTCCTCTTATTTGTTGCTTTAAGTGTTGATTTTGAGATATAACAGTGATCCTTCTTTTAGCATTTTGTGTTTTAACATGTCCAGCTAGTGAACAGGTTATAATTGTGTGCCTAGACATGAGCCCAGTTTTGCTGCAACTGTCAGGACTTGTACCCTCCCATATAAAACCAGATAAATTTTCAGTGAATTTTAATTTTATACTGTTCAAGTGAGTAGTTTATCTATGATCCAAAGGATTCCTTGCCTTGGTTATGTAATTGCTCTCAGAACTGCAGTTAAGATTTGTAATACATAAACTCCATTCCATTCACTTTAAGTTTTAAACAAAGTCCAAGGTCCATTATTTGCAGGCATGAAAATCTGTCAGTATTTTTTGAAGGGATTTTGAAATCTATTCCCTGTCTGAAGAGATTTTTTTTCTGTCTCTGTTTTCACTTGGATCTCTAAACATTCTTACACTATAAAATTGGTATTGTAAATAAATAAATAAATAAATAAAATCTTTCCTTGGAAGGAGAAGTTTTACATACCTAATTTTACCTAGGCTGAGATGAAACTTAACTTTGCAGAGGGATTTTTTTTCATAAATCCTTCCCACTGTGTAGTTTGGAGGTATTCTCCATTTTCTACAGCAAGGCTAATTCAATTGCTCCCACCACTTGGAAGATTAAGAATAAACATAAATATAGATTGTAATAAATATAGATTGTGAATTTCTGCTTTTACAAACAAAAGTTAAAACTCTCTAGCAAAAACTTCAGCAACTGTACTTCTCTCCATTTGTATAATAATTTTATTATTATATAATATAGGAATTTCACTAAATCTCAATATTCTGAATGCTTAATTGTCATCTCACTCACCTCCAAAGTGTCTCACTGATATGGACAAGAAGTGCCAGGAGTCAGGAACACCAAGTCTTAACAATATTTCTCTAAAATTCCAAGTATTTGGTTTATCACAGAGACAGCCACAGTGCCAGGTAGCCAGGTCTTATCGTTATTGTCCACCTCATTTTATCAAGGGAAGGATTCTGAAGCACAGGTATCGATTCTCCACCATGAGCAGGAAGGGGAACAAGAGCCAGTGACATCTACATTACATTAGGCAGATATTCCATGAACACTCAAACATTTTCGTGGACTGATCTATTTTATTTTTGCCATATTTACTGGCAGTGAGTGAAGCTTCCAAAAATCCTTACAAAGCAGAAGCTCTTCCATTACTGGAAAAGTAAAACAAAACCAGCAAGACCT